GTTTTTATTTCAACCAAGTCAGTACTTCCATTCTAGGTGACACAATTAATGATCTTGGATTTTTTAAAGTTCTCCCCTATTTTCAGAGGCACCCCTCCTGGTTAGACACTAAACCCAGGGTCCCAAATCCTTAAGGGGACTTATGAGGCACTGTTGGTCTGTCTCCCAATGCCTCTTGCTGACTGGACATCATCTATCCCTTGTCCTAATCCCTTGGGGATCTTCAGTGCCTACCACAACAGGTCCTTTGCACATGCTGTCCCCTCTGCCTTGAGCCCTTTGTACTTTCCACCCTACCCTCTTCTTTTCCTGGTTGGATCTTACTCGTCCTTTAAGGAGGTCATCTCCAGCAAACTTCCTAGGGAAACCTGCCCTAATAACCATGTCAAGTTCTTTTAGTACATCATCTCATAGAAACCAGAATTCATTCCTGGGTTGCTCTAATTTTGGCTTAAAATTCTACTCTCATTTCTGAGGTTCTCTGGTTAATGCTCATCTTTGGCCACCTAACTTCCAAGTTTCATAAGGACAGAGGGGCAGTCTGTGGAGGTTCCCCATGGTGCCTCCAAGCTGCCAGAAGCAGCACTCACTGTGCTGTGTGCACGCACCCTCACCTGCACACAGCTCCCCAGAGCAGAGCTTCGAGGTGCGTTGCTGATAGATGGTATGTAACCAAGGAAAGAGCCTTAGGATTCTGACATTTGTGCTTAAGGAATCTGAGGCTTTTCTGTCACCTACTCAAGGTAAGGGGTAATGAGAGATGGGGATGTTTTATCGCCGACAGCCTGCCTGAAAAAAATCTTCAAAAACCCAAATTTACAGGGCTTGGCCCAGTTACTGCTCAGGCTGCCATGTCCAGTTTCTGAGGAGCACGGCCGAACATTGGGGCTTTTTTCTTCTTTGATATCAGCTTTGGCACCTAAGGAGTGCTAGGTATGATGTTTTTAATGAAAGTGAAGCCAAGAATTTAAAGATAAAAATGAAAATAGTATGCATCTTTGCTCCATGACATAGTGCCGACAAATTGGGCAAGAATTCTGATGAGTGATCACCGGTCAAGTTCAAACACCATCTTCTGACCATCTGGTAAAAATAAACACCTGGCTTGTTACTGAACAGCAAGTTAAAGACAACTTCAGAAGGCAAGGCAAGCTCACTGACTGAAGGGGGTGTCTAAAGGCTGTTTCTAATATTCATAGCAGCAATGGCCACAGTCACCAAACTGTGGAAAGAACCAAGATGCCCTTCAACGGACGAATAGATAAAGAAGATGTGGCCCTTATATACTATGGAGTATTATGCCTCCATCAGAAAGGATGAATACCCAACTTTTGTAGCAACATGGACGGGAATGGAGGAGATTATACTGAGTGAAATAAGTTAAACAGAAGAGTCAATTATCATATGGTTTCGCTTATTTGTGGAGCATAAGGAATAACATGGAGGACATGGGGAGATGGAGAGAAGTGAGTTGAGGGAAATTGGAGGGGAGATGAACCACGAGAGACTGTGGACTCTGAGAAACAAATTGAGGGTTTTGGAGGGGAGGGGGTTGGGGGGTTGGGGGGTTGGGTGAGCCTGGTGGTGGGTATTAAGGAGGGCATGTATTGCATGAAGCACTGGGTGTGGTGCATAAACAAGGAATTCTGGAACACTGAAAAGAAATTAAAAAAAATAAAAAAGCTGTTTCTACCCAGGTGAATAATGTTTTCATTCATTTTGAAGCCAAAAGCTGTTACAGTCAACAGAGCAGGACTCAGGTCAAAGGGTGCCTACGTGGCTGACCACCCCCCCCCCAAGGTAGGTGACATGTGTGAGTGGACTCAGGACACCAGCTGCCTCTGTCCCTAATTTCATTTCACTGTAATCTTGCTGCTCAGGAGCTGGGAGGGTTTTAGGCAACCAGCTGTTCCAAAGGTCTCAGGGTTGATGCTAACTAAGGACGACAGCACTGTTAATGGGTTATAACTGTTCCCACGACAGATGCTGCTGCCAGTGACGAGGTGTTACCCCCCAAGAAGCGGGAAGGCTCTGCAGCTGAGGAAGAGCCTGGTCAGCAGCGCGCTCTCCCAGTCCTCCAGAACCCCCACTAGCCCCACCCCCTCCAGGCCGGATTTATGACTCCCAAGTCAGGGGCGGTGTTCACGCTCATTTTTAACAAGGGATGGAGAGAGTACTCAGCATAAAAGAATGCTGTCGTTCACCCTCCCACTGCCTCAGTTAGCGCGCCTCTCCAGTGCTTTTGAGAAGGCGGTTTACAGCTGATGAGAACTCCAAACCCACACCCTGTTTTTGTGCACATTTCACATGAGAAACTGAGGCTCAGAGAAATTTCAACACTAGTCTCTGGTCCTGCTGGAGGGATTCTGTCTCTAGGGGACTTTTTCTTTTATTGCTTAAAGCTGCCTGTGCCTCAACCGTCACCAACTAGTTTAAAACGTTGCATTTCAAATACTCAGCCCAGCAGGAGTGTTGCCAAGACGCTTGGGCAGTGCCCTATCTTCCTCAGCAGAGCGTTTGCCTGGTGTGAATCTTGGAGACTGAAGAGAAGGACCCCAGCCCCACACAACCGCGGGGGGTGGGGTGGGGAGCTGGCAAAAGTCCGGGAGCCCATGCTCATTTCAGATCATTGCCAGGGCCACGAACCCCTTGCCGCATTGCTCTCAGCCTGGGGGTCAACCACCCTGCTGAACACTGCTGGACACTGGGGACAAAGAAATACTTCGGTTTCAAAGACTGCCAGGAAATTACAGTTACACAAGGCTGGTGCACACCAGCACTGACTTACTCCAGGTGCCCAAAGAAACTCTAGTGGGTACAGCAGGTTTGGGCTGGTCCTTGTCCATGTGTTTATGTGCATGTGTGTGTGCATGTGGGGCGCATGCATGTTTGTGAGTTCAAGGGGTTCTGTGCCTTAGCTGGGAACTTCCAACCCACAGCCATGTCTCCAGGACGTAGTACAGATTGGCTACACATTTTCTCTGCCAGACAGATGTACAATACCCCAAGGCGCAGACCCGAAAGATCGGCATCTCTACCTCACCCACCCAGTCCTACGAGACACACTTGGATCCACACTGATTATCGCCTACACACCATGCTTCTGGCTGGCCAACTAGAGGAACAAGGATCCAATGGTTATATGCCCAAAGATAGCTCAGGCTGTTTTTGGTTTTCATTCAGTAGGGAAGAAGCTGGAATCTATAGCAACAAGGGGAAGAACATACTGTTAGACCTCTGTCACAGTGTGCTCCTATAGGGAAGACCTCTTGATTTTATCAGCGGAACTCTGAGGACCCTGGGGTTCAGCTATTTGCCTGCCTCACACAATATTTATATCTAGGACCGAAGTCAGCTCTCCTGCCTGTTTCCTAGACACCACGCTTCTGCTCATATCAAGTAAAATTCTGATCTTGGCCTTAACACTTCAGCAAAGAGCCTTGTTCTGTTTCTTCCTTGATCTCAGAGAGGAGCTCCTGCCCGGGGTGGAAGCAGAACATCCTCCTAGGCCTTACCCTGCCCTCCTGGCCCTACCTCAGTATTCTTTAGCCTCCTAGAAGCCCCCTGTGCCCATCTGGGGACGCCTGCTCGCTGCCTGAAAAGGCTCAAGGCAGGTGAGGTCTGCTAGGCTGGCAAATCCCGAGTATTTTCTCTAGAAGCCCTCCTGCCAGGAAGCTGTGGGCTCCAGGGGGCTCTTTGAAGAGCAAAGGGGCTCTCTCTTCAGCTGTCTTTTCCTCCCTCCCTGCCTGTGTTCCTCTCTCCATCTGGATGGGATCAGCCAAACCCAGAAGGGTCTTCTGCTGTGCTAAAGCCAGATGGTGTCTCCCCCACATAGCTGTTCACAAATGTTTAATAGCGTGTTTTCACTCCAGAGCCCAACGTAAGCATTGCAATATTTCTTCATAGAAAACAGGATTAAAGCTCATCGTAAGCTGACTTTTTCCTTTGGGAAAAGCTAATTTATCCTTGGGTCAACATCAGGCAAAAAGTTAGAGTCGCTTACTGTGTTCAGCCTACATATGTTTATTATCTACATCTGGTTGATGTTTTACTGAATTGTGATTTTTTTTTTTTTTTTTTTTAATAGTGGGTGATAGAGCTGCCTCCTCTATCCAAAATCTGGGCTGATTTCCATCTGCATTCGCTGGTCTCCTTTCCCTTCCCTCCTGGCTCCCCTCCCACTCACCACTGTGGTATAAACTGCCGATTTAATGAGGTCGTGCTCCCATGCCAAAGGGTCGAGGCAAAAAAAATCACATCATAGGAGCAAATGGGATTTACCCTTTCTTGCTTTTTTATTACTGACCTAATAAAGTTTGTGACATAACGAATCCCACATTACGATTCTCCGAAACTTTTCTACTCACAGGAAGCCTGCTGTTAGACCAAGACAACCGGAGGGACACTTCTGACTGCAGGCAGGCACTGGGGGGATGGGGTTGACAAACTGTTGCCCCAGACCCTTGTGCATAAATTTCAGTTAGAGAAGAGCCCAGGAATGGAAGCAAAGGGAGTGTGCTTGGAGGCATCTTCCTTCTTTCCTTTTTGTATCAAACATGTGATGTCCCCACCATAGCCAAAGAATCTGCAGAGATAAGGGCACTGGCTGCCTCCACCCTCTGGACAGTCCTCTCCCGGGCAGAGATAGAGATTCTGTCACACGTCACAGGCAGATGGCTATTCCTCCCTGGCATGCCCCAGCCTCCCACCCCTGGGAAAATAGTCAGAGGTCCAAGGATAATTAACATCATAGATCAGCACTCAGAAGAGTCCTACCCCCATGGAGGTGTCCTCCTGAAACCCAGAGTCCTGGGGATGGGAGAAAGCAAAGGAGCTTTGATGCTCTTGGGGCTAGCATGGAGACTGCTGGAAAAAGGTGCCTGTGGTGGGAACAGGTGGCAGCTCTTAGGTGAGCATCAGGGACAGGCAGTCTCCTGGGTTGTAAGGACGGCACGGACTCCTTTGAGGTGGCCAGGCAGGGGAGGAGGTGAAAGCGTTCTTCAGAAGGTGGTGGTCCCAGTGAGGGGGACCTGTTTGCGCCTGGTTTCCGGTTGCAAGGGCTCCTGCTGGCAGGGGAGCGGAGGGCATATCCATCCTGCCCCACCTCTGCTCTTGAGAGCAGTGGCATAATAGTCTAGGGGTTCTTCCTCAGCACCACCAGTGGCATCCAGGAGGCAGCAGCGCAGGCAGAGAACCCGCTGGAAAGAACGGCGGAAGTTGTCAGAGAGGAAGCCATAGAGGATGGGGTTGGCACAGCTGTTGGCGTAGCTGAGGATGAGGGACACGTGGTTGACCGTGGCATCAAGGCTGGTCACAAACAGGTTCAGCAGCTGCACCACGTAGAAAGGCATCCAGCAGAGCACAAAGACGGCTACCACCATCAGCACGAGCCGCGTGATCTTCTTTTCCGAGCGTCTCCGCTGCTGCCAGCCGGCCCGGAGTGCCACCGCCCGCATCTTGCCCACGATAAGCAGGTAGCACAGGCCGATGGCCAGAACGGGCAGCAGAAAGCCCAGCAGGAAAGTATAGACCACAAAGACCGCTGACCAAGCCGGGTGCGGCCAATGCAGGTTGCAAGCCACCGCCTGGCCACCCCGAGCCGTCCTGGTGTCTGCGAAGATGGCAATGGGCAGGGTGACCAGCAAGGACGCCAGCCACACGCCCAAGTTGATTAGCTTGGCCACGCTGGGCCTCCGGTAGGTGGCGGCACGAAGAGGGTGCACCACGGCGATGTAGCGGTCCACGCTGAGCACCGTCAGACAGAAGACGCTGGTGAACATGTTGAGGCCATCCACACTGAGCACGGCGCGGCACAGCACAGACCCGAAGGGCCAGTGGCGCAGGGCAGCCGACGAGGCCACGAAGGGCACGCTCAGCATGAAAAGCTCATCTGCGATGGCCAGGTTAAGCAGGTAGATGTTAGTGGCCGTCTTCATCTTGGCGTAGCGAAGGATCACAAAGATGACCAGGGCGTTGCCCACCAGGCCCACCAGGCACACCAGCGCGTAGATGCACTGGATGGCGACCATGCCTGCTGCCCCCGCGTCCCCGGTCCCCGCCGCCGCCTCCTCCTCCCCGGTCGGGGCGCAGCTGGCGTTGACCGCTGGAGACCAGGCCTTCTCGAGATCTTCCTCGCCCCCCGGGGGCAGCGTCGGGGAAGCGCTCATGCCCAAGGGTGCCCGCCCAGAGCAGCGGAGCGCGGCGGAGCAGACTGGGTGAGGGCTCCCGCGCAGAGGCGCGCGCCTCTCCCTGCTCCGCCTGAAGAGCCGGCGGCGGGCCGGCCGGCAGCACCCTCCAATCCCGCGCCGCGAGCCCTCCGCGCCCCAGTCCCCGCGCTCGCGTGCCCCGCCCCGTTTGCCCACCTCCGCGCCCGGGCCGCACTACCATCCGGGCCCCCGCCCGGGATCCAGCCCCGCCGCAGGTCTTCCTTCAGATTAGATCCGTTCCCCCGGCCCGTGGCCTCTTCTCTAGCCGGTTGCCGCTCCCTCCCCTGCTCTGTACTCTGCAGCCACAAGGCTGGAGCGGGGGCGGGGCGGGGGGGTCCCTGAGTCCTCCGTTTGGGTGACGCGGCTCTGGGGATGGCAAGGGACTAACCCGGGGGTGCGGAGCCAGTTGCCAGGCGCTTGACGTCCACCCCCTCTCCACTCGGCCTCCCTAACCCCTGTGACCCTCTTGAAGACTTGCAGGGTCTGTACGACTTTTACCTCCTGTAGGCATCCCGGTAAGTTCTAGGTCTACAGGATCCAGGTCGCCCCCTCCCCACACTCTACGCAACCACAAATACCAGGACCTTTTTAGCAAAATGTCGGTGGGGTGGGGGTAGGGTGGCCTCCAGGAACGGAGGTTCACACGCACCAAGGCAGAGATGCCGTAAAAGAAGGCCAGCCATCGTGTCCTGTGCCCATTGTGCTAGACCACACAGACAGCTCGCCCCAGAGCCAGATACCCCGAAACCTATGTGGAGCCGGGTATCTTAGGAGGCATCTCCCCTGTAGACTCGGGAATGTGCCCGGGTAAGGGCGGTCCGGAAATGTTTGTGTTCCAGGCTGGATTTCCTCCTCCCCCAAACTCCAGAATGTGCCCATTGACACCCCTGGACTAGATGATCCTGGGCTAGACAGCCCCAGTGTGAGGACCCAGCAGGCAGCCCCACAACTCTATCCCTATTAGTCCACACGGGGCACAGCAGAATTAGTGAAGTGGGGATTTGCCTTGGAAGATTATCCTCATAGTAATGCTGGCCCTTTGGAACCCCAGATCAGCCCGGTAGTGGCCTCCTTGAGACTCCCTTCAGGACGGTCCTGAAAAGCTTTTGGTGTATCTGGAAGTGGCTGCAGGCCACCCAGAGGTGTGTGTGTGGGGGGGGGTGGGGAACAGGGGTTGGGGTCCCAGTTCCAGTGCCTAGTGGCTGGAGTAGTTTCCAAAGAGAAGGTGGCAGGATGCTTGAGGCCAGCTGGAGGTGACCTTTCAGAGAGCTTGGAGGCTGCTGACTGCTATTCACGCAGGATTTTTTTGGAGGGGGGCGGAACACAGGTGATAAGCACCTAAGCAACATAGTGGCTAAGTCTAATCTCTGTCCCCAATTTCTGCCACTGAAATGGTTCCTTTAAAAGGTTTGTCTTAAGAAATAAAAATAAAAATAAAAATAAATAATAAAATATTTGTCTTAGCAGCCCTCCTTCTCTTTATGGACACTCCTTAAACGGGTCTGTCCTTTCCTCTGCTCCCATTTTCCTCATTGTCTCTAAGGGAAAGACTCTTATAGGGGAAAGAGAGGGTGACGTAGTCATTAGGGAATATGTATAAGTCAGCTGTCCAGGTGAGAGTTGGGGTCTGCATGGCTCCTTGACCTTTGGCAGAGGATGGCCTGGGAGTGTAGTTCTGCGAGGTCTACACAAGGAGCCTTTGGAGCATTGGCAACAGCACAAGCATGAGCTGCGTGTCTGTGCCACAACTATTGCAGCAGGAAGCTGAGCAGCCACTCCAGTGCATTCCTGACACAGGGCAGGTAGGCCTTGAAAGTAGGCTGCCTGGTTCAAATCCAGCTTCACCTCCTCCCAGATATGCAGCCTTGGGCAAATCCCTCTGTCTCTGTGTGCCTCAGTTTCCACATCTGGAAAGTGGGTATTACGGTACTATTTGGTAGGGTACCATGAGGATCCATCACAATGGCATACCCACAGTGACTGGGGAAGTACTTGGCCATGGTCAGCACTCAGTGAGTATGGGCTATCCAGGTTATTTATTTTTCTACCCCTCTCTAGGTGATGAGACTAAAGAGGATGTCTGTCTCTTCCCACTTGGTACCACACTGTCTCATGTTCCATCGGTCGGCTGCTTTCAGAGAGCAAAAAGTGAAGGTCGTGGTGGAGGTCCCCAATACCCTCCCCCATGAATTATTATTAAAGCTTTTGTTGTCAGATGTATTGGTTTCTACCGACAGTGCTTTTATATCTAACCTGTATTGAAAACAATGTGTCTGTGTTCAAGGCCAGGAGCAGGGAATCATTCTGGTCCCAGACTGTGTATTTAGGGAGGGATCAGAGAGTCATTTGAGATGTGGACCACTCAAGCAACTGAATTCTTTAGATAATGAGCACGCACAGTGCTGAACCCCTCCTGAGATGGACCTGGGGGGGAGGGACACATGTCCCTAGGTCACATTTATCTTGTCCTGAGATGGACATTCTTCTGCCCATTCTGTTTCCCTACTTTGTCTTCAGATTCCATCAGGCCTCATCAGGCTGGGGTTGGGATTGGCAAGAGTATATTAGCTTTTGAAAAATCGCTATAATGATGAAAACAAAGTTGAGTTGATACCGAGAATCACTGTCTTCATCCCAGCATCATCATAACGAAAAAAATCTCATGGACTAGAAGAACAGGAGGTTGGGAAATTCAGGTTGATATGGAGGTTCTTCCTCAAAGTCAAGAAAGTCATGAGGCTGAGTTACTTGGAGTTTTGTTTGAGCTGACACTGGGGGGCAGAAGGTCAGTTTTGAACAACAGACTTGTTGGAGGCAACATAGTATAATGTGACTGGCTTGATCTGTACTCCAGCTCATTGCTTACCAGATATGTGACGTTGGCCAAGTTACTCAAACTCTTTGTGCCTCCATTTCCTCCCCCTGTAAAATGGCATTAATCTTAGTCCCATCACAGAGGGGCTGTTGTTCAGATTGACAAGCTGACATACATCAAACAATTATGACAGGATCTGGCAGTGATAAGCTCCCATATATGTTTATTATTATTAATACTCCACCCCAAGTCTCTGGTGCTTGCTGGCTCAAAGTTCCTGGGCACATCTGGTTTTGCCCCAAATACACTGACATTAAGCAGATGACCCCCTTTGTCAGACTCAGTGAGGTGCAAGGAGCAGGTATCACTCCTGAATATTCTGAAGGCTCTCCAGATAATTCTAACGCATATTGGTGCAACACTCACTCAACTAAAAGGAGTTATGAAGAGGCAGGAAGCCTGAGGGCCACAGTGGGTGGAGATCACTGTGCCTCCAGGGTGGCTGGCTGAAGGGAGGGGCCAGGAGAAACATCCAGAAAACCAGAGACCCCTCTGCTCAGAGAAACAGAGAGCTCAAGAGGGGCACCCTGTTAGAACCCAGTGGGAAGAGGCTGCGGTGGTCGGGGCCCCATTGCTGTGCTCTCCCAAGGGACTAAGTGCCACTGAAAGGGGACCGGCCACATTTCTCCACTGGGACAGAAAACAAAGTGAAACATTCATGCTGAGTAAAAGTGGGGGGAGAGGGGGCAAAGTCCGTTTGTAAGCTGTCCTTCAGCTCCCCTGTCCTTTGCTGTTGGATGTATATATAGGGGCCAATTTGGGGTTGTTGATTAAATATCTAACATCAGGCCCAAATTGGTCCCCTGCCCATTGTTACAAGCAGTGCAGAGCTGGGGCTGGGCTGGGTCTGAGTGTCCTTCTCTGGGTGGTGATAGGGCAGCCCAGGGACCCAGCTGGCCCCAGCTGCTGGAGGGCTGGTGGAATTTCCAAGGCTGAGCCCGGGCAGCGAGGGTGGAGCAGAGGCCTCACAGCCCCTCCCCCAAGCCAGAGAGCAGAGCACCTTTGTTGGAAATGTGATTAATCTTTTCTATTTCCATTCTTCTCATGTGCTCCTCAGGCCAGAGCCTCCAAGCATCTGGTCCACAGGTCTTCCAGAAGGGCTTCTTTTGCAAATAGCCATGCACCAAGGAGAGGCTTGACCCTCAGCAGCGTGAGGACTGTCTTCCAGAGAGCCACTTCTGTCATCTGCTGATTAGAAAATCATCTCAAGTGCTCTCAGCAGCTCAGCTTGGCTTTGATAGCTCCTGCTGGGTATAGTGAAGCATAATTTACCGGGGGTGAGTGCATGGCATTGTCAGAAGCGATTTACATGATCGGCTCTTCTTCAGATTCCCATCTGGACTCCAGTGATGTGGACAGGATGGTGACAACACAGTCCCATTCCACCCCAAAGGCTTTACTGTGAGGTCGAGGATTTCCTTTAGGAGTTTATTACCTATTAAATGACTTCCTTGAAAAGAGAGTGAACTAAAAATCATGTGAGATAACCAGAAAGTCGGCATGAGAAAGGCACAGGTCTGGGACAGGAATGGTGTTCGTGCTCTATCCGGATCATGTATCCAGACTGGGCTGTCGACTACTTGGAGTGAGGAAATGGAGCGACATTCTGTTCTCTGGAGTTGTTTTCGACCACCCCAGCCTCCTGGCCTCATTGTTCTGTGTGTAGAAGAGAATGAGCTGGAAGACAAAACATGGGTTCTGCCCTGAACCCTCTACTCATGACAGGTGTGAGCGTGGGCGGCTCCTTTCGGGCACCTCTGCTCCTAGTGTGGGCCTGGCAGCCAGCACCCAAACCACTTGTTAGAAGCGCCCATCCTGGACCTGTTGAGTCCCAAACACTGAAGGCAGGGACCAGCCAGAGTGCTCACCAGCCCTCCAGGGCCCTGCAGTGACACTTGAGTCTGAGAGCTGCTGGTATTGCCTTTTGAGCCTCACTTCCTTGTCCAGCCCACTTCGCAGAGGGGTGAACCAGTATCAGGAAAGATTATTTGACATGAATGCTCTGAAATCTGCAGACGACTTGGCCACATGGCTCCTGAACGTTTGCACATCAGATCTCAGACCTTTGAGTGAACAAAAGAATAGGAAACTTCTTTTTTAAATTGGTTATTTGTTGAAGTGATAGGGATATGGAGGTAAAATGGAACGTATTATAAAATGAGTTTTACCTGTTTCTTTTTTACCTTTTTTACTCTGACTGTTGGAAAATTTAAGTTACATTTGTGTCTTGCATGATATTTATACAGCATTAGACCCTGTCAGATGCCACAGGCAATGCTGTTAACATGCTGTTCCTGCACGGTCAA